TTTATTTTTTTTTTTTTTTCTTTTCCGGAGTTGATTCCCAGCAACAACTTTTAATCACCGACTCTTTGCTACTAGACATTCGTACATATACTCGCGCACGCGCGCGTAAACGCCTAAACATCGGTGCGACCCGGTGCAAGGCCGGTCAATGACCTATTTAAGCGTTGAGAGTGATTCGGAAAAAACAACGCGTAAAAACATACTCTAACTCCGATTACCACGATATATTTACTACATTTTCAGGATATTTCCCGACTGAAGAATTATTAAATCTATCCAGTCTGGTTCTTAAATTTTTCATGACATGTGAAGCCTTCAGTAACTATGAAAGACTGTCTCACTTCTCTCGTAGAGTGAAGATAGAGAACCTGAAAGAATATATCGCTATAATTTAGCAATCAATTCTTTCTCTGTTTGTTTTAGTTATTTAATTGAAATTTTTCATTTGAGTATAATTTGTGACAAAGACTAATAAAAGTCCACATTGAAAATTTAAATTTAACTCTAAGTACCAATCACGGAAGTTGAAACTTTGAAAAAATAAATTGATAGGCGGAAAAAATGGAGAAACCTTTAAATAATTCATTCTATAGTCAAGAAAATAACGCTGAATAGAATATCAATATCCGATTTTCCTTTAACGATCCTATTGTAAAACTTATTGTAATTTGAACTACACGAACTTCTTACGTCTTGCTAAGACCTATCAAATTATAGTTCTGAATTTAATGGTGTATTTAATTTACTAATTAAACATTTTCCCTCAATGAATTGAATCCAAATGTCATCATTATGGTGCAGTATTAATCAGCAGTCTGTATAAAATTTTGGAATTGCTCGATTAATGTTCAAACGAACAAAAAATTGTTTTCCCAACATTCAAAGCGGATATAGAAAGTTTCGTTTGATAATAAACTAATTACTAACCACAGATTTGCAAAGCTACAGCAGAACATCCAATATTCGAAGTAATAGGAAGACAGAAATATTCAGAATGTGAAATTTTCGGATAATAGAATAATTTTACTTTTTGGATATTAAATTGCATGCATTGAATTGTTAACCTAATATTTTTTAACTTGCCTGGCTCTCTTTGTACTTTGAATTCTCGATCTTTCTTTTCGACGACGATATCATCTTTTGTTCTGACTTTCGTTCAGTGTGCAAAAAAATTATATTTAAGATACATTTATCATTATAGATTTAACATTCATAAGCGAAACGTTTATTTGTGGCAAAATTAAGAACAGTTTCTTGTATTATATTTTTTTCTATCAATATTATCTTTTTAATTAATTAAATCTTTTATTTCATAAGTTCTCTTGCAAAAATTAAAAACCATGTCAAAAACCCATGTAATAATAATCGTATAGAATAATTTAGTACAAGAGAAAGCATCTGATAAATATTCTGCTTGCATAATAGAATTTTCAGAACGGTATTACAGTATTCGATTAATCGGATTTCGAATATGAGAGACTCCACTATATAATAATGAGTTACAATAATTAGTTTCGATATTGAAAAGATATATAAAATGATTTAGAGAATAAAAATTTTTTGTAAAAATCTGAAATTGGAAATAACATTGTTGCATTTAAAATATATTTATTTACAAATGTATGGATTCAAGACAAAATAAATAAAACATTATTTAAATCAGAGTCTTAATTAACTACCATGTAAATTAATTCATCAAATTATTTCATCTCTAATTGCAGTTAATGAAATTGCAAATAATATAAATTTTAAATTATTTTTAATATAATTTTTAATATAAATCGTTGATGAACTCACGATTTTGATTTTGATAGAGATACTATCCTGAGTTTTGCTACAATTTAATCTCGATATCCTAAGTTTCTTTTTTTTAAATACAAAAGTGCAAATTGATTACTTTTTGCAGAGGTCAAAAAAAGATTGCCAGATATATTTGTATTTAAATATGAAATAAGTCAAAGAAGTTAAACTATAAAATTATTGGAACTTATATTTGACAAAAGAACTTGTTTGTGTATATCACTTCAAGGATCTTAAAAACGATTGCGTTAAAAATATTAATCTTCTACGAAATTCAAATAGTAAAACATTAACATATTACAAGCCATGACAGGATGGACTTGGATATCTCCGTTGTTTTTTGAAAACAAACGTTTTTTTTTTTTTTTTTTTTGTTAACAAAAGTTGTATCTACTTGATCTTATCTATTAAATATTACAAATTTGGTGAAGATTGCAGTTGACGAAATCATTAAAGATACTACTAAACTCTTTTTGAATTTCAGCAAAAGACAGTGTATAAAATACTAAAGCATTCTATAAAAATATTTTACTTAACTTTAGCAATTACATATCGATCAGCAGTGTTTAAGTAAATAAGATTTAGTGTGTCTGAAAAAAAATATATAAAGCTCTACCTTCTATCACAAAATGTCAAGCGGGGATAATTTACAATAGCCGCTCGAATATTGTTCATCAATTTCGAACTATGAAGAACGATGAAAATAAATTCTATAGCTTACTACTAATTATTCAACATATTATGTACATACATTATTAGAACGTTTTAAATTAACAACCGGGAGAAACATAATTATAGGTATAATAATATAGGTATCATTACCTATTATATCGTAATCATTATCTGTTGTATTTAGCTTAAATAATTTTATACATACGTAGTCGTTAATAATTTTATTTTCAATGCAACGAAATAAATTCATTTTATTATAATATTATAATATTATAGTTATATAATATTATAATACGTAAGTACGTATGAATTCGAACGAACGACAATTGTATCAATAGATTAAAAATATACGGCAATAAAAGATGATCGGTAGACTTTTTTATAATTCACGAGCATTCCATTCCAATAATTGTGCTACATAATTTTTAAAACTGAATTCAATGTACTTGATCATTTTCAACACATAATACCGATTACAATACATAAAAAGAAATTAAACAGATAGAATGACGAGAAAATTTCTATAGAAGATAAAACACTGCAAGGTCGTTTGATTCACAATTTTATCGTAATGTAAAATACATGCACATATATATGCATATACTATATGCTGGAATTGACTTATGACTATTTTATTAAGCTATACTATATTTAGAGAAGTGGACAAAAATATTCGCATAATTGATGAAAAATTACCGATATTTTAAATCATTTAAACTTTGTGAAACAAAATCGTACATCAGTACGGTTGGTCTCGTTTTAAAGCGTGAAATTTTTACCAATCTTGAGTTTCCTTTTTTCCCCAAAGATCTTTTTACATCATGCACCAGGTAGAAGAGATACTTTCGTTGTTAAAAAATTTAAACTCCTCACTGAAAAATGTTTCTCATGATTAGGTCTTGAAGATCGAAGTCTTTTCTTCACATCAACTGCTTGAAACTTTTGTACGATTTTTTTTCGCCATTTTATTGAATCTTGAATATTAGAATTAAACGACAAAATTTCAAAAAATCTTAGCGTTTTCCCATTTAATACTAATGATCGAAGTTCAATAAAATGCAAAATAAAACCGTACAATAAGTTTTGAGAGATCGCTGAGGAGACTTTAATATTCATGACCATGGTAGATTCAATTATAAAAAGAAATTTTTATAATACACGTGTAATATACGTATTTTTATAATATACAAATTTTTATATTATATTATATTATATTATACGTTACCGGAGATATTTGAATTTTCACAATTTTCGAAAATAAAAGTATCCTTGCTTTTCTAAATGAACATAATGGACGTAAAACCATTTTTAAGAAAAACTAACTGAAATTATCGAAACATAGACTTCATATTTCAAAATAAACCTGGATTCGTATATGACTGTTATATTGTAGACAGTTTTTCGAGTGTGCAAGTACATTTGTACATCTCTGTATATTTCACACGTGCAAAAAATTTCCGAGAGAGAGAAAAGAAGATCATTAAAATTAGCAGATAAAAGTTGTTTAGATGTATAATTAAGAAGATATTTACTTTTAAACATTCATCTTGCACACTGTTTCGTCCATGTTCTTGCACCATTCGTTTCGTTCCTTTTTCTTGAATCATAAATAGAGGACTGTAAAAGAAAGATACACGTTTCTGCAGTTACTCGGAACGGTCTATGCATTAACATAAAATCGACAGTGTACCGTGTACACAGGTGAGAATACGAAAGAAGAACGAGAACCAAGATATTCGTACTTTGGATTCTTTTAAAGGAGTCCGAGGAATTCTGAAGTTGTTCGTTGCACTGTTAATCTAATACTGTCACGACGAGACGACTGTTGCAATAAGAAAGGAAGGCAAACAGATTTAATGACGTAGAAGAAAAAAGCGCGGCAAAAGCGGTAACAGCGTCGGCTGTAATGGATTAAAGTTTAAAGCAAAGCACCGATTATCCTTATTATCAAAAAAAATTCCCCATGATTCTTGCGTTATCGTGGTCAACTGTTCTGTCAACATCGTCGAGTAGCCGAGTTTTCAGAATCGCTCGCTTTGAACGTGGTGTGTGTCATCAGCGGCGCGGTAAGCGCGGCATTTAACGACAAAAGGCAGCGAAAGGGAGGGTAGCAAACGGCGAGTATAAAGGGAGAGTGGAGAACTACGAAGAAGACGATTTCCCCGCGCGGAAGGTCGTTTACAAGTCTCGCGTAGCCTCCGCAAAATAAAGATTTCGAGGGCCATTCAGCGACAGCCAAGTGGCCCCGTATATTAACAGAGTGTTGACAGGTGTGTCGGCCGAGGAGAAGAATAAGAAAGAGAAAGAACGTCGACAGCGAGAAACTAAAGCGAAAGAGCACAAAAGGAGAATCTAGAGCCCCGTTGGCGAAGTCGAGACACGAAATACGAGTCGATGAGTAACCATCGTCTCGGTAACATTCGGCATTCGTTAACCTCTTGCGCTGGATCGACGTGCCACGCAAGTCGAGAATTTTGTATCCCAAAGTTGTTGTAATATTATGCAGTATTCAACTTCTACATTTGAAATTTATCTTAATTCAACATCGAGGTCGCAATCTTCTACAAGATCTATAAAGAAATATAACGCTGTTATCCCTAAGGTAATTTATTCTATTAATTTTAAATTAAAGATCAAATTATTTTCTTTAATTAAAGTTTCCTAAAATTAAGATTTATTAAAATTATTTTCCTAATTAGATATTAAATTAAATTTTATATTAAATACAAAAATTAATTAATATAAAATTCTATAGGGTCTTATCGTTCCATAAAAGAATATTAACATTTTTATTAAAATTTTAAATTTATAATTTATATATGAGACAGTATATATTTCATTAATCCTCAATACTTATTTCCTCAGTTTTAAATATATTTAAATATAACCCAGGCAACAACAAGTAATAAATTTGTTACTTCTTAGTAATTTCTAGTTTAGTGATATCGTACCGACGAGGTAAAAAAAAAGAAAGCGACGAATTACATGGTTTGGTCACTCGTTATGGTCCGTGAACCAGTTGCCAGCGCAAGAGGTTAAAGTCACGGAAGCCCCATCGTTGGGCAAAAATGAATAAAGCATTAAACGGTAATGTGAAAATTAAATCAATACGTAACATTGGACGTGTAAATTATAAAGATATCATGAGTTGCTAGAATATTTGATAACGTGCGAATATAGTAATAGTCAAAATCTGCCAGTTTACGAGCAAGATGCTTGATGTAAGCGGAGACTTGGAAAAAATATAATAAATATTGGTTGCACGAGAGGGAAAGAATATGAAATTCCCAATATACTATAACATACTATACTTCACACATATAAAATTCTCAGTATACTTTAATATACTATACTTCAAATATGTAAAATTCCCAATATACTATAACATACTACATTTCACACATATAAAATTCTCAATATACTTTAATATACTATACTTCAAATATATAAAATTTCCAATATACTGTAACATACTATACTTCAAATATATAAAATTCTCAATATACTATAATATACTATACTTCAAATATATAAAATCCCCACTATACTGTAACATACTATATTTCAGATATATAAAATTCTCAATATACTATACATACTATACTTCACACATATAAAATTCTCAATAAACTTTAATATACTATACTTCAAATATATAAAATTCCCAATATACTTTAATATACTATACTTCAAATATATAAAATTCACAATATACTATAATATACTATACTTCAAATATATAAAATCCCCACTATACTGTAACATACTATACTTCAGATATATAAAATTCTCAATATACTATACATACTATACTTCACACATATAAAATTCTCAATAAACTTTAATATACTATACTTCAAATATATAAAATTCCCAATATACTATACTTAGGAGAGAAGGAATTGTTCGTTGGAAGAATTAATGGTAGATATTTAGAGAAAACAGTTAATTAAGAAAAACGTACCGTATATGAATGTATAAATTATGAAAGAGCAATTTGTAAACCAAGTCTGTTCCTCAGCCTTGGGGTTGGAATTACTGTTAATAAATAAATGAACAAAAAAACTAAATAACATCGGGTAACGTATGATATTCAACGATCGGCAAACCTTATTTCACAGATTTTCCTTTCGCTTTGGACAAACGTTCCAAGTAATTGTATTCGAACGGCGGATCGCCGAGGGGGTTGGCGGCATTGCGTATCGTTAGCGGAGAGTTCGGTTAGCCTGACTGGCTTATTCACCGCGCAGTTTCAACGCTAGGCTTTTCATTAGGGCGCGTGATTGATGAGGGCCCATCGCACTGCGATATTATTTTGAGTTGGTGCACACCTAGCCCAGCAGCCCCGGAGCAAGCCCTATTATCTATCGGTCCTTTTGCCCTCCGATCTCTCTCTCTCTCTCTCTCTCTCTCTCCTTTCCTCCCCTTCTCCCCCTTCACGTTCCTGTCCTCTGCTTCGGTTCCCGCCCCTCCTCTTTCTCGGCGGCCAGCATCATCCTCGTTCCACGCTGCGCTCACTCGCCTTTCGTACTCAAACCCCTTTGTTCCCGTGGGCTGTCGACGCTAATGGAAAGCACTTTTAACCGATGCTAATGGAAACGCGCCACCGGGTTACTTCTCTCGCTGTGCGAGCCCTCGGCCTCGGGATCGTTGCGAAAAATTATCTCGCGGACGTATCTCGTTATGAGCAGCGTGCAGTTTTGAAGGACGAGGGAGAATCAACGGAGCGAGCCTCGAGATTGATAGCCGAGACGCGCGCAATTTATTCTTTCCAATCTCGGTGTCTCGAAACTCGAGGTTAATACGCTCTCGATCGATTAGTTCGCGGCCTCCTTCCAATTATAGATATCCCTGATTAATCACTCGCACTCGGGCGTAAGTGCAACGAGTTTGATATTTATGATTTTTCTTTCTCTCTCTCTCTCTCTCTCTCTCTCTCTCTCTTTCGGATGACACGTCTCGTTAGGATAGTTTCTGAATAGCGTAAGAAGGGATAATCCTGTTCGAGCGTTAAAAAAATGGCTAAACGTCGTTTCAAGACAGCCTTCACGCCACATCAGTCTTTGTCCCGACAAATTTTCGCGTCCTCTTCGTGTTCTATCGTCACCGCCAGACACTGTTGGTCCTCTTTCGCCTTGAGAATTTGTTTCTGTCTTATCTTAACGTGTCGCGCTGCAACCATCTGCTACGTGTCGAGCGTGTACTACCCGCTACCACCATAAATCCTCATCGCGTTCAAAGGCAGGCAGAGTGAAATCGATCCATTTTTTTCACATCGAACACGAAGGGGAAAAAGAGGAACTCGAACAACAATCTGCGCGTTATGTTTCCTTTCGTTTTATCCGCCGGCTGACGAGCGGTTTTCTTTGAAAACAGTTTATCTTCATCGCGCGATCGATGCAGCCTCTAGCTGCAGCGTAGATATCAAACGAACAAACATCCTTAGTCCAGTGAGGTAGATCGCGAATCCGACGCGAGGAAACTTTTCGTCCAACGGAGAGGAAGTGACTGGCTAAGAAGGGGGCTGAGGGAGAGACGTGCCGTTCCAGTTTATCTTCGAGAATATTGAAAGATATACTTGAGGCGTGTAAACTTTGGACAGAATGGAACGGATAGATGGCAGATTATAAATTTCATCGTTTGCAAGAACGGCGTTTTCGAAACTAGCGTACGATTGAACGATCCGAACGAAACGATCCGAAATGGAAATCACGTTTTCTTTGCCCTAACGTCAGGTTCGTTTCAACGACGTGAGCCACATTTTCATCTGGTTTTTCAGCCGCGGCACTAATTATGCCAAAAAATTTGCGCTCGGCGCCCGGCAGTTTCGAGTGTCTTTTTAACTGGCCGCTTCATATAATGAACGTATCGTTCGCCAGTGGTCAAAGAGAACTGGTAGAGAATTCCGCTCGGGATTTTCACCGATTTGTATCATATTCGTCTCTGTGCATGCTGGGGAAGGAAAATAAAAAATACGAGGTATCGTACTATGTATCATTGATTAATTCGATTAGAGTGAATTGTTTGCTTTGCCTCTGCGAAACGAGGGGAATTTGTGAAAAAAAAAAAGAAAAAAAAAGAAAAAATTATACTGCACGGATATGCGCGTGTTTCGTTTCTAGATTTATCATGGATAAAAAGAACATCCGTTCACGCCGATACAATATTATATACAGTACATACATTGAATATATAGGTGCATATATGCGTATGGTACATACAAGGTACATACAAGGCCATCTATTTAAATCGAACGTCTCAATAATTTTCAATGTTGTTGAAGGTGAAAGAAAAATAATTGATACTGACGTATACGATAGCAAATAGTAAATAGTAAATAGTTTAATATCGGTTATATATACTATTCGATATATACGCGCATGTACTTATATTATGTATATAAAGGCCGTTTTATTTAAAATTGAACATTCAAATTATTTTCAGTATTATCGAGGTAGTAATTAATAACGACGTATTACATATAATTATTGTATTTATAATTTTTTGTAAATTAATTAAACAAATAAAACATTGAAAATAGAATTATTATTCCTCTAATTGTAATAATTAAAATTATATATATGATGATGGTTCAATTAAATAAATATTATAATAAAATATAATTAATTATAATTATATATTTATTAAATAAATATTATAATAAATATATAATTGATATAAAAATAGTAAAAAGAAATGAAATTAATTAACTGATTTAATGGATTGAAAGAAATTCTAAATAGTGATAAATTTATTAAAAAAAAATTAAGATTACGAATGAATTTATCATAATAATAGAATTTAAGATAAAAGTTTTCATTATTCCAAAAAATATAAAAGGTTTATTATTTATAATTACATATTTACGTAACAGCAAATGTGAATAACAGTCTAACCTAACCCAATGTCGGTACTCTCAAATAGACGTAAGTAGATATTATCCTTTTTTAATCGTCTTCGATTTCGCTGTCATACCGCGCTCCAATCACGAGAAGGAAGACGTACATTTTGTACAAGGCGCAGAACACAAAGGAGTTCTTTATCAAAGCGGATTTTTCGTGGGTAATCGAGCGTATGATTTATCGCAGCCGGAAAGGTCTGTTTTCATTTCCGGTCCGATCTAAATCACTCGAATTCCTCTACGGCTCAATTGGATTCCCTTATGCGAGCCGGAATGTACCGCTGTTATTGCTTGATCGAAGGCTACATTTGCGTAATACACTGTAGAAACTTGGTCGGCCCGACTAAGGAGAGGAGAGAGAAAAGGGAAGAAAAGGAAAATAGGATGGAAGGGAAGAGTAAAATGGTGGAAGAAAAAAAAACAGAAAGAACTTGCCGCGATGTTCTCGTCCGATAGCAAAGACAGACGGTGTTTACTGCGTTTCGTTGCCGGCTCGAGATTTTCCCGTCGGCCCTCGAACGCGTTTCAAGAGAATGATAGAGCGTTGTTCAATTAGTTTCGTTTCGAAATGGACCCCGGAAGCATTCGGGATGACCGAAGTTTTTTCCCGTGACCCTGTCGCCGTTTCGGTTTGCTACCGTGAAACAAGTACGGATTGTAAATCCGGCGTGAGTTATCGCCGCGTTTCGATCAAAACTGTGAAACTGCAGTTTTCAGGCCGGGCACGTGAAATTTTTCACTGGAAGTTCTTCCGGTTACA